ATAAACATAATTTATCCTGTGTTTTCTGTAACATATTGCAATTTAGAATCCTAAATATATAACTGAATTTTAGGCACCCAGAGAAAGAATACATTTCAAGTACCTAAAAATGCTACTTAGCTTTTTGAGTATTAGAATCAGACCTTTCAATCATTCTTTCCCAAGATGCAAAATGCTCCAAAAGTGCATTGGGTATAAAGAATGGGCCTTTGTCCAGACCAAAGCCAAACTGATTTTCAATGGAGACAAATTTTCCCCCCAAGGGATATTTATATTTGGCAAATGTCTGGGGATATTTTTTTATTGCTACAACCGGGGGAAGGAAAGAAGAGGAGTGCAGGTTTATACTAGTCAGAGAACAGGGTGCTGCTAGATATCCACAATGCAGAGCAGCCCCCCAACACCAAGAATCCTCAGTCTCGGAGCATCAATAGGAAAAGGGTTGTAAATCGCTTCAAGCTTGTTCTCTTTAGAAAATACTATGTTAGATTTAGAAATTTAACACTAAGTAGATGTATGGTACCTACTATGCATTAACTGCATAAAAGTTTAAATGCATCTTCTTAAATATATACACCATCAAATATTCTGTCTTACCCAAGAGACCAGCTTTACTCAAATCAAGTAATTTACTGCTTCTCTATCACAAGGCAAAATTAGCAATACTCTAATGCACAAAGTATAAGCTCCATTACAGTTCAGTCAATTCCAAAATCTGAATTTGAACTTGGTTTCAACCATAAAATTATCAGTGTGGCTAGGTAATGGAAATAAAAGCCCATTTAAACAGCATAGAGCTCCTCCCCCTAGTTTTCTGGATAATCTTGGAAAGAAGTGGCTGCCAATCAGGAACTTGACCATTAAATGCAAGGAAACATTTATAATTCAGCAACCATTGCCCAGATGAATGGAAATGCCAAAACAACCAGGGTAAACTGAGGTCCCAATGGGGAAAGCTAACAGTAAAGGAGGGAACAGCAAGAACTCAGCCTTGATCTTTTAGGCAAACATTTAAACAGTGATCACAAAAATCGACAGCAAGCTCAGAGTAAAGACACATGCGAGTGGTCATTGTCATCCATGCTTTGTCCATAGTCCAGAGATCCCTTCAGGCTAATTAATCAGTAACAGAGCAACCCCCTTCTAATAAATGTAAGCATGACATCTTTGTGGCAAAAGCATCTGTCCAGGCCTGCATAACAGTGTTGATCTGGGAACAATACATGCAAATAACATAAGTCCAAGAACTGTGCTTGGCAGAAGGGCTCTGAACTTACAGGATGAAGGAGAAAGCCTCAAGAAGCTTAAAGTTCTTGAATTCCTAATTGCTGTCCTACTGCTATCAAAGTTCTATCAGTTTCCAAAAGTCCTAGATCTTAAGCATTATAGCTCAAGAAACAAGACAACTCCCCAACACAACCCAAACCAACTCCAGCAACAAGGGTTAATATCATAAACAGTGCACTGAACAGGAATGAGAGATATACTTTTATTACATGTCATTCAGACTGTAAGGTTTATGAAAAGAAAATAACAGCTAGGAGACAAAGGTCTTCACTATACACACTTCTGTGGGTCAATTTTCACTAATATTTACTGTGTTGGACTGAAAAAGTACTAGTGTGGTTTTGTTGCTGTGTGGGGTGTGTGTTTGCTTCCCCGCTTGCTTGTAGGCAAGGTCTGTTTTGCTCAGGCTGGCCTGGAATCTGCATCAATATTCCTGCCTCAGTTTCCCAAGGGCTAAAAGATGCTACTGTTGTAAAGCATTTAAGCATACTTTTGTGTGTGTATTTAGTTTCAAGTTTTTTTTTTTTTTTAAGGCAGCAAAGACCCTACCATACATAATGGCTTTCAATCAAGTACTTCAAGACATTTTCATTTTCTCACTTGATAAAATGTTATCAGAGCCAAAGATAAAGTCTGAACTTCACTTTCACGTTTTCACCAGTCTCCAACTTCTGCAGAGAAAATAAAAAGCTAGTCCCTAGGGCCAGGTGCCATACTAGTTAAGACTGATTCTTTGTTACACAAACCCTGACTCTTTAATTCTCCATTTCTAAGCAGGAGACACCTTGTTATTCATGCTGTGCATAGTAGCAACTTGTGAAGTCTGCCTGTTGGAATGCTGAACACTTTCAGGGAGAGGAAACATTTCTCCTTCCCATCTGCTCACATTCTTACAAGCTAGCATAAAACATTTTCAGGGCCTTAGGTCCTGCCCAACCTCTCATCCTTACTGGAATTTTTATTGATTTTATTTTACTTTTTTAGCTGAGATCAAATAACCCTAAAAATATAGTCCACCTGTTGCCTATGGCCTTAAAAGAATTCTTCCTGGAGCACTCTAAGGGTATCCTAGAAGCAGGCCACTGCTCTAGGGAGGAAGATAGTGGCACACTCCTGCCTGCAGACTGATCAAATGGTAGGAAACATGGTCAAAAGAAGAGGGAAAAGAATAGAGGCCCAAAAAAAAGCAAAGAGATTGCTCTCTACCTAGCATGGTTTTAAACATAGCTTGCTTACTAAATGGATCTCATACCTTAGGGAAAGGTTCCACACCAACTGAAAGAAACTAAAAGGGACAATCTAGAGAAACAATACCTTTCCAGCGGCAATATGCTAACTAGACACCAAAACTGACTTGCTAACCACAGGTTGACTCTACTTAAACTCAAATTCGCTCTCCAAAACTGCCAAAGAAATACACTGTGATATCTTTTTGTTACTCATGGTATTATCATCAAATTAAGGTTAACATATAGGTTAGACATAGCAAAAAATATTAAAGAACTCACATGTTGAATTCTGCTGGGCAATGGTTTTCATTATAATAACATTTAGGCATTCTGGGAAGACAGAAATCTCAAGCACCAAACAGACCACATGCATTATGCCTTCACAATAAAAGTTCCTTTGGAAAAAAAAGTCACAAACTAAGAAACCAGAGCAACACTGGTTAGACTCTACACAGATCTGGCCACAAGCAACCTGGAGCCCTAACTACAGGCAAAGGATTACATCCAGTAAGCAGAATAGCACACTGGCTCAGAGACCTCCTTCTCAAGTCTTTCTGTTCAAGTCCCACCCAGATTTCAGCTACATGACCACAGGCGTGGTCACCTGTCTGTGCCTCAATTCCACACAACTGAGTGGTAGTTGTAGAAATCAAGTTTACTATATGTGAAGCATACATGCTAATGGCAAACACAAGAATTAGGCTTGCAAACGGCTTATAAAGTCTATCCACTAGGAGACTCTGTGGCCTAGTAAGCCTTCTTCCTACAGTGAGGTCCCGCAAAGAAACTGAGGACACCACTGTGCAAACCACACCGAAAACACACCACCACAGGCTGCTCTCCTCCTGCAGCCCACCCCTGATGCTCCCCACCAAATGTTTCACACTCTAAGCAGACTTCAGCTCCTCACAGAGCTAGGGAGGCATATGAAAACAGCAGAATTACAGAATTAACTTTGCCTGAGATTTCCCAGTAACTGAATGAGTCACTGGCTGCTTTAGAAACAGAGTAAAATGTCAAGGTTGCCAGAGAACCCCATGCAGATGTTTGCATAAATCATTTAAGTGATCACCCAGCCAAAGCCAGAGGACATCATTTAAGACACCACTAAGTAAAATAGATCCATTTTTATATTTCCTTTAAGAGAGAAAAATAAAATCCAAAAATGGGGTTGAGGGGATCACAGTAAGTTTAACCCCCACATGACAGAGCACATGGGTCAAAGCTTGGAACTCCTGTACTCTGCTCCAACCTCATCAACAAACCCTGGGCAAACTCCAAATTAAAGTCAGTGCACAGCACTTGGTATATTTTCTTTATCATACTATCTAAGGGAAGCAGGAGTGGTGAACATTTGTAAATATCTGTCTACAACATGTTTAATTCCACTCTCTTACAAAATATTTCGAGTGCTGTGTTGATGACAGAATCCACAAGTCCTTTTTCAATTTCATTATACTTCAAGTAAAGCTAATACTTTAATTTCAATTCAATCCAGGCCATTTGCCCTGGCATATCAGAAGAAATGGCAAGAATTAGTCACTTAAACTGTCACAGAAGAAAATGAAATTAAATATCTGCCTTATTTGATACCTCATAGGTTTCTCTAGATTGAATAGTTGCTAGTTTGTCGATATTTGGGCTCTTCAGGTCCATTCATTAAAGAGAACTGTACACCACATTTACTTTCACCAAAATTGCCGGTGTGTATGTTACTGGCAAAGATCTACAAAGGGCATTCACTGTGGCTGCTTGGTACCCTTCCAAACAAAACCCACTGTATCGGCTTGTTCATTTAATAACTTTTCATAAAAGACTTTGGATGGGTCGTTTTCCCAACGCGTTTGCCAAAGTGACCACCCCGCAAAGAACTGAGCGCCACGCAGCTTCCAGTAGGAGTATAACCACGCGCTTCCCCACTAGGCTTCAAACCTACCCGCTGTAACAGCTGAAGAATGACGACACTAAAATCACCTATCCACATCCGAAAGGGTTGCAACAGGAAATAAACTTTTTATCTCTTGAGAAACAGTGCAGAGGGGGAAACACAGAAACCCGCCCAGGTGGGGTGTGTTTGATCAATTTCCAGGACTTTGTGTGCAGAGGGGATCTGGGCAGCGTCGGGCACCTAACCCTGAGCGAGCCGTGGGTCGACCACAGCTACCCTCTCGCCGCGCAGGACTCCCGCCCCCCCGACAGGCGCCCGAGGCCACTTCCCCAGGTACGGGTGCGAGTGCGTGAACACAGCTACTTCCCCCGGGACGCGGGTCTGCCACCGCATGCCACCCAGCACTTTGTTCTGTCTGCGCTCCAGAGTGGCGGTCGCCGCGGTCGGAGCGCAGCAAAGCCCGGGCTGCAGGAGGCTCGATCCCCAACCGGGTGCGGCCTCTCCCTGCCCCGGCCCCCAACCTGGAGTGGGAGGGCTAGGCGGCCAGCAGCTGCTGCGCTCGGGCCCCCACGTCGGCCCGGCAGCCAGGTGCTTACCTGCGGGAACGAGCCCTCGCGGCGCGGGCCCCGGGGATAGTCCAAGTGACCCCTGTCCAACATCAGGTAGAGCGAGAAGATGACCACGCAGAAGATCGCGCTGCCGAACACGGTGAACTGGCGGCTTAACTTCATTTTCCTCGATGAACCGGGGTCAGGACACTGTCCTCACCCGGCCGACTGGGGACTCCAGCGAGGGCCGCCCGAGGCTCCCCGCTCCGGGGCTGCGCACCCTTCGCGCGCCCGCGTGCCAGCGCGGGTCCGGGCGGTGCTCCGCACCCCGTCTCCGGCGCCACCTCGCGCCCTCGGCCTACGCCCTGGCCCGCTGCCCTCCCCGGGGCTGGCCGTCACTCCCGAGCAGGACTGGGGCACAGCAGGGAAAGGACCCCACCAAGTTGACTTCTAGTTCAGCGCCCACGGCCGTCAGGGCGAGCGGAGCAGGCGGCAGAGAGGTCGCCGCCCGGACTTCCTGCCACCGCCGCCCCGACTGAGTCGGCAGGAAAAGTTTTCTCGACAAGGACAGGCGTGTCCTCCTCGCCTAGAGCACGCGCCGCTTCGGCAGCTCCGGGCCAACCGTGCCCAGCCGAGGGCGAGGAGCGCACGGAGGAGCCACTGGCTCTGGGGGAGCCGGGCCCCACAACTTATCTCTGGGACTGCCCGGCCCGCCCCCGCAGCACCTCCCCCGGGTCCCCGCCCGAGCCCCTTCCCGCAGCCGCCGCAGCAGGGCCCGGCCGGGGTGCACCCTGGGCGCCCCGATCCAGGACTTCCCTCTGGGTGAGCGTCTGCTCGCCTGCCTCTCCCGGCCCCGGCTGCCCCTACCTTCCTCCTCCCGGCCCGGGCTGCACGCGGAAGGCGCAGGGGGCGCGCGGCGGCGGGAGGAGGAAAAGCAGAGCCGGGAGGAGAGGACCGTCCCCGGAGAGGAACCCGCTCCAGCTGCAGCCGTGAGCAGCCCCCTCCTGCCCGCCCCGAAAACGCGGAGATGGCGGCAGCAGCGGTAAAAGGAAGCTCCGCTTCCCCAACGCCACTCGGCGCTCCAGCACCGCCCGCCACGAGCTGGAGGAGACGCGGTAGCGGCGGCGCGGCGGCGGCGGCTGGGTCAATAGGCGCCCGCAGCCCCGGAGCTGGGCAGCCGGCTAGCCCCGCCCCCTCCCCGACGCGCGGAGATGAGGGGGCGGACCCCTAGGCGCCCAATCACAGCGCGCCTCTGCCGGCTGGCCCCGCCTTCCGACCCGCCCGGCGCCTGTCTCCCCGGGCCCTGACTGTGGGGAGACCTCAGGAGGCTTCTGTAACCTGGGAGGCGGTTTCGCCCGACGCAAGCTACCAGTCCGGAGCTTTCTAGGCGCTGGCAGCCCACGTTCCACGGCGGCTGTTGCTCATTCTCCAAGTTCCTTCTGCTTCGGGTTTTCTATCCTGGAACACTCAGATTCAGCATGTCAGGGAAGAGTCCTCGGTGCAGGGCTGTAAAAAAAGATAAGCAAGAAAATCTGAGCATTCCTCTGGGGCTCATCTCTCCCTCTTCTTTTTTGTCGACGTTCTTGTGAGACCTGGAGAAAAAGATGCTGGCAGAGGCTCTTCCAGGCAGATGTAGACATCTGACCACAAGGGAATCTGAGAAATGCTTGTGCTGACTATTGAATTATGGCCTCTCAGCTCCAAATTCACCCTTTTTCACTGCACAGTGAAAATGAATCTGGGCCCTTTAAGTAGATTTACCTTTGCCTTTGGGACTGAACTTTTGTCAGTAGAGGGTGCTGAAGAGACGTTATAGGAAAACAAGGATTTTGCTTCCTGGTTTTGGTTTGTCTGGTATGCAGTTTCTCCTAGCATGCCGGACTTTTTCAAATCCCAAACTCCTTGGTGGCCAGCTGTTTTGTAATGGAGGTAAGACGTGAATGGCTTTCCCTGCACTCTAGCGACAATTTGCAGCAAGCTCAGAGGGCAAATGTTCAACAAGTTTGCAGACACAGTACCACAGTGACTTTACTATTCAATTAGCCAGACTGCAGCCTCCATAAAAATCTCATCTTAGCCTTACAAGGGATAGGCAGGTCATCTTTCTTGGGCCCTTTATCAACCCAAGAGGTAATTATGAGGTTAGCTCTCCATAACTACTATATCTATATTCTCTATAGTTCCCTTCTTGCTCATTGTTTAATGCTTATTACAGTTAAGAATTATTTTTATTAAGCCTCCCCTGTCCAGTAGTCCCAAGAGATAGACCTGCAAGACAGGATTTAAATGTCAGTTTGATTGAGACTTTGGACAAAAGCTCCTAGCCAACGGGACATGGAATGGTAATTCGTGTCATGAAGGGCATTTCAGTTAATTAAGCAATCACCTGTGGTTGATCTTGATGAAGTGCCAACTGGAGCAAGTGCCTTGGGGGGTCCTGGTGCCAGCTACACTTGACTGTGATGGTAATAAAAGTGACTGTAAGGACTGTCCAGGGTTCGGAGGATTCTTTGGAGTACTTTTGAATGCATTTAAAGAGAAATGGCAAACACAGGTCCATTAACTCTCTTATGGTATGAAGATCAAAGAGACTCCATAACAATTCTAAAAGAATCCTTCCTTGCCACAACAAGAATGACACAGCTGAGGATCAAATGCAAATTTTTATTTTGAGGTTACTCAGTTATTGTTACTGTTAAACTCATAGACATGCCAAGTTTTTCTCTAAAAGTTAAGGTATTAATTGGTGAATAATAACATTCTAAAATTTAGAGTTGGTTAGACACCAATGAATCTAGCAGTTGAATCCCGTGTCCCCCACCCCCTACCTGCACAGTCACTCTGAGCCCCTCTTACCAGTGGAAGTAGGTTGTCTTCCAGTATGTCTGAGCAGACTGGCCTTTCTCCACTTGGAAATCTTCTCACCCTGGAGGGTAGATATGTATTCTGTGTGTTCATATGTGTATTTTTCTAAAATACTCATCTTTTCTGTAAAAAACACCAGAAGCAGTTGGCCTCATCTGGGGCCTTGACAGGGAATTTGCATCTTTCTCAAAACCACCATAGTCATCCTCTGTTCCCTGAGAATAGAATCACTTTTCAGTATGTTCCTGTGAGATAGCCTGTAGATATGCGCTATTATGGAGGGAGAAATAATTCATATACCAAAAGACCTACAGTGGTTTATGATATATGCTGCCAAACCTGGGAACCATATATAGAAGTGTCTAAGGACTACAGGCCACAAAGGATAGAGTATAACCCTATCCAATCAAAATTTATTGCTTCTTTTAGGCATTTAGTTCATGCAGTTTGACATGACTTGATTGATGGATGGAAATGTCGACACAATGGTGGTCTGCAGGTTGTGAGACTGAGATTCCAGAGCCTCACGACATGAAGTAGAAAAGGAAACTCAACGGTTTAGAGAAAAACAAAAATTGTACTGGATTTATCATATGCAGTTTGCATGCCCATTCCCTCCACTGCACTTTTTGCAAAGGTGCAGAATTCATTCCCTTCACTGTAGCCTTGAGAAAGACATGGAAAACCTCTGTGGTTTCATCCCTCTGTAGACCACGTATGACTAAAGACAATGCCCCTGTTCAGATGCGTTGCCTTATTTACACGGGGATGACAGGATCTCAAAATAGAAGCCATGCAGCATTTAACCAACAAAGACAGGATGGGTGCATTTACCTCAAGAGACAGCAGACAAATAGTCATACTGTCATGGCCCACAGAGATGTCCTCAGAGCATAATATATAGGTAGCCTATGCAGAATATTTCTTTATCACTTGGGGGGTGGGGCATTGACTTTGGGGACTGTGTATTAGCAAAAACCCAGATTTTTAAAAAATTTCTAGACACTGGCTCTGAATTGATACCAACTAATACTAATTCCTGATAAGGAAGAAGTGAGTCATGTAGATGCTTTAGTAATATATATTTGAAATAAAGTAAATGAGCTCATGATCATGAACTGAGTTAACAACTCTAAAATGTCACCTCAAGCATGGGATATGTTCTGGAATGACACAGAATGTTCTGGAATGACACAAGTTATACAATGAAGAAACTGCTGAGAGACAGAAATGATCCCAAAAATGATGTGGGTTAGAAATTATGAGCACTGGGAATAAGAGTAAAATAATTACATCAAGGACTAGTCATTCCAATCCTCTGGACCCTAGAAGAAAGGTATCAAAATCTGAATTGTGTGTCCTTAAATTTCGGATGTTTAAGTCTCAAGCCCTACTACCCTACTACCTTAAAATCATAGTATCTAGAGATAAGGTTTTTACAAAGGCGGTTGAGTTCAAATGAGTTCATAAAGTTGGAGCCTTAATCCAGTCTGACCCATGTCCCTATAAAAAGAGAGACACATGCACATCATCTGATGACACAATGAGAAAGCAGCCAGTTACAACCAGATGTACCAACATTTTGACCATTGACTGCTAGCCTCCAGACTTTGTTATTTATACAACCCTGTTTTGTGACAGCCCTGACATATATATATATATATATATACATATATATATATATATATATATATGTATATATACACAGTAATACAGAAAGCAGTCACCCACCTGGCAGAAAATGTTTGGCAGGGAGTTAAATCCAAAATGTAGAAGGAATTTGTATAATTCATTAACAAACAATTTAAAAACAGATAAAGGACCTAAATAAGTATTTTTTCCAAAGAAGACATAAATGGCCAACAGCTATATAAAAAGGTATTCAACAACATTAGTCAGCAGAGATTTACACATCAAAATCACAATGAGATATCATTTTACACCTGTTATGATGGTTTAGGGAACAAGTAAAATAGCAAGTGTTAGGATGTGGTGAAGAGGGGCCTTGTAAACCGTTGGTGGAATTATAAATCGGTTCAGTCAATAGAAACAGTTTATGGTACAATCTCAAATGGCTCTATACAAAATGGTACAGTTTATGGAAAGCAGTATGAGAATTCCCCTTAAACTAAAAATAGAACTGTCCTATGATCCAGCAATTTCACTACTAGATGTGTGTGTGTGTGTGTGTGTGTGTGTGTGTGTGTCCCCAAAGCAACTTCTCTTTTCTAGAAAATTTTGTTTTTTGAGGTTTTTTAATTTTATTTATTATTTTTATTTTATGTGTATGTGCATATTGCCTGCATATAGTTAAGTGC